AGGAGTTCTGAGTTTAAGTTCGGATAAAATTTAAGTTGATCATTTTTTGTTATGTAGAAAGTTTGACGTTGTGATTACATTTTATGCTTTTCAAATTATGGTTTCCAAAATTATATTTTTAAGACTATATTGAAAAATTTGCCTGGTTCTGCAACTCTAGCGATTATATTTTGCCTTTTCCTACAATTTACGTCAAAAATTTGACCAATAGGGTCAATAGGCTTGAGATTTTTTGTATGTTGTGTTCAGTTATTTTTATCTTATGATTTAATGGTAATTTTTATTTTCCGCTGAAGTTGATTTGTAAGGCACCACTAAAGCTCATACACAAACGCTATAGGTTGTCTTCGCTAAAGCTATTTTGTCCCCACACAAAAATCATATTTTGAAGTTTCTTGCTAAAAAATGCTATTTGTAAAGGAGGTTATCTTGCAAATAGATAACCTCTTTTACAATAGATGCATGGTCATTAAAAACACTTTGCAAGATTTTTGCAATATCTTGCAAATTAACCTCACTTGATCGGGGATACAGAATTTTTTGTTTCAGCACAAAAAAATTTGCAAGAAAAACTCATACCTGAATCAGCAAAGACTCTTTCAGTGTTTTGTTTTACGTGTCTAATTATAGACCGTATTCTCTACAGACCGCAACCTCTATACCGGAGGAACTCGAAATAATCAATTTGATTTGATTGGGCAGGATGAGCGGCAGGTATGAAAAACGACTTAAACCAACAAAAAAGACTTCGTAAACTTGTTTAATTTGCATCGTACTGTAATGGGGGAGTTGAATAAGATATCTTAGTATAAGTTTTAAAGTCTTTTTCGTTGATAAAAGTAATCGTTCATGCCTGCTGCTTATCCGACCCATAATTTGATTTGGTGGATACCAAACCAAAGAGCTGCGTCCAGTGAATTATGTTTGCTCTGAAACTAATTGGGAAACCAAAAAATTTCAGATTTGATTGATTGAACTGATTCAAAAAGGAACAAGAAAGTGCTGAAACTGCTGAAAGTAAAAATCTAAATTCGTAAGACCCTTAGAATGATATTTAAAAAATTCTGTAAAAAAATTGCTACTTAAAGAGTTCACGTTGGTGTGTTTTTTAAAATTTGATTAAAAACGGAAAAAGACAAAATATCGTAAAAAGAAAGTGCTGAAACTGCTGAAAAAGACTATCTAAATTTGTAACACCCTTAGAATCATATTTAAAAATTTTTGTAAAGAATAGTTAGTTGAAGAGTTGACTTTGGTTTGTTTTTTAGGACTTGATTGAAAAAAAAAAGACAAAATAACGGAAAAAGAAAGTGCTGAAACTGTTGAAAGTGAGTATATAAATTCGTAATACCTTTGGAATGATATAAAAATTTGCTTTTGTTTTTTCTGCAACAAAATTCGAATTCTTTAAACAAATTTTTGAAATGAATTCAAACCTTTGTTACGTGTTGTTGCCGTCAAAAAACATTAAAACAGAATTTTTTATGAATGCTGTTCAAGAGCTTTTTGAAACCTCCAATTTTGAATAAATTTTTTTCTACAAATAGCATATGGCAACAAAACCAAAGTGCAAAGCACATAAATTTGCAAAACATTAGAAATTGGTTTGCGTTGGGTGTTAAAAAAACTGAGAAATTAAATTTTGCAGCAAAACAAAGTATTTTAAGTGAAAAAAGTGGATCTTAAAAAATATATATTCGTTCACTCCTTCAGCTAAAAATTAACTTAAAACCATCTAAGAACGCAGTTGTTTGCTTTGAATTCAACTTTTGTTTTGAGGCTTCAAATAGCATGGTTTTCAAATAGCATATAGCGAAAACAATAGATTTTTTTTACTGCGATTTTATGGCAAAGACAATAGATTTTCTTGCAATTTTATGGGGAAAACAATCGTTTTAAGTGCAATTTCAAGGCAAAAAAGATTTTGTTGAGATTATCTGGAGATAAAAATAGATTTTTTTTCATGGAATTAAAACGCAATACAATCTTCATGAAATTAACTTATTTTCTTTCTATTTTAATAGAAAATGTTGCCTAAACTGGTTACACATAATCGTTTATAATGGCAACATTTTCGGTAACATTTTCTCAATATAATCTATTTTTATCCGAGAAACTTCGGTGCGGTAATATTTTCATAGGAAAAATCTATGTCTTTATCATGTTTTTTTTTCAGATTATTATGGGACACGAGCAGTTTTGCTCTTCAATATACTTGATGTTATAAATTAATAACTATGAAAACGTGATCGAGAATCATTTAAATCTTAGTAGCAAAAATATGGCATTTATTTATCTCCACGATGAGTGGCAAAACTTCTGGTTTGTTGATGAATCAAAAGTTAAATCATGTTAATTACCTAAGTACTTTTCTGCTTCTCGTGGCAGTTTGTTAGTTTCATGCCTGTGTCACATCTCGAAAACCACGCAACTATACTCAAAACCGTAATATTACATTTTTTCGAAACAAACTGGTTAGATGGACAAAATTCTGTTAGAAAAATAGTTCTCAGAATGGGATTTTGCTGTAAAGGATTTCCACATAACCGAGATTTAAGAAGGCGTAAATGGATAAAAAGTAGTTGATAAATTCAGCTTACCGCATCCAAGTTTAGCCGTAAGTAATCGATTATAACGGTTTATTATGATGATTGTTGACAATTATAATTGATTAAAATTAACAAATTTAGGTGTTTAAAGGATTAATAATTGATTATAATCGTGATATTTTCCAAAATATTATAATCTCTCATAATCGATTATAATTTATTATAGTTTTTACAAAAAACCCTTAAAAGCAATTATAATTGAACCAAAACAATATTGAATTATAATTGAACCAAAAACAATTTTGTCAAACCAAAACAATATTCGAATCATATCTTATGGGTTATTAATTTTGTGTCAATGAGAAAATTTCTAAAAGAGAGATCTCTTGAACAGTTTGGTTCATCTGAACACAAAGTATTACCACGAAATAAAATTTTCGTAGAGATCCTTTCATATTTGTGGAGAGGTTACCGCGGTAGATGAAAAATAAATCTTCCGAATCAATCATGAAACTAAATCAGTTTGCTGATGTTTTGGTGGTTAAAAAAACTTAAAATATGCATCACAAAACAACTCTACTGGGAAAGAAAAAACCTCATAAATTTGAATTGATTGGAAAACTTTAAAAGCATTTGTCTCATTTTTCATTGAAACTAACGTCTACAAAAGCATAAAATATAAGCAATTTAGATGCAACTTCGAAGACAAAGTGAACCAAGAAAATGGATTATAATCAACTATATTCTGCTCAATTCATACAGTAAAAACAAAACAGAATCGGTTTTAAATTCACGAAGTTGGCCGTAATTTTATGACTACATTAAACGTATCAAGCCAAAATAGTGGGGTTGATCATGCGCTGATCTATGATTTTTCTATAAAATCAAATTCAGTTCACACGGTCGAAAGAACAGAACCTCAAATGCAGACCAATTTCGAACCGATTAAAATATCAGCATTTCATGTTCTGTCAGGTTCGGCTCAAATCGGATTCTCAAATGAAATGACTTAGGTGACAATCGAACCCACGCCGAACTCACTGTGTATAACGGAACGCACTATGTATGCCGGAACCCCGGAACGCACTATGTATAAGCTGGGCTATACAGCTGGTATTGCTGAGCAACTATACTGATTTTATACTCTACTTTAATGCTATGTAGCTTTAACATCTTGCACCCCCGAAGGAGCGAGAACCGGAACGAGCTTATCGAGCGGCCGACTGTAGTTTCCGGAAACGGTCTTTAGGTTTGCGGAACGGGCGGTATTGTCCTTGCCGTAGTTTAGTGACATTATGCGTGCTAGTGGGTAGTAGCCCCTAGGCTAGTGGATTCAACTAACCACACCATATCTCCCGTTTTCAGTGAATATTCGGGAGGAGCATGCCACTTAACTCTTTTATTGAGTGTAGGGACGTATTCATTTAACCATCCTTGCCAAATTGCGTTTGCGTACGACTGCGCACGGGCATAGCGTTTAGAGTGAGAATAGTTCTCACTCAACCTTAGAGACGAAAACGTTAGACTGTGCTGACCTAAAAGAAAATGATTCGGCGTCAAAGCCTCAAGACTATCTAGGTCGTCAGAAACGGGAGTGAGTGGATGGGCGTTTAAAGAACCTTCATTTAGGCACATGGCTGTGTTCAAAATCTCGTCTGTCAACTTTTCTGACACTAAGGCTGCATAAAACACGCGCTTACAACTGCGCACCATTCGCTCCCATGCTCCACCTTGATGTGGTGCTTTTGGCGGATTATACTTGTAGTTAATCTGTTTGTGTACGAGCGACAGTGGAGCTTCTGCGTTCCAATTTTTGATGCACAGAAAAAGCTTTTTTTCGGCTATTACAAAGTTCGTTTCGTTGTCCGACCAAATTTTTGAGGGTGTTCCTTGCCTAAAAATAAAGCGCTCTAAAGCCTCACACATGAACTTGTACCCATAGATGGAACCAACTCAAAGTGAATTGCGCGAGTCGTTAAGCAAGCAAATAGAAAACCCCAGCGTTTCTCGGAAGATCGACGAATGGTTACATGAAATGGTTCAAAATAATCGGCGCCGCATTTTGAGAACGGTGGCTGGCGGTAACCTATACGCTCCGCAGGAAGGTGAGATATCATTGCAGTAAATTTTTTTGCTTCTCGCTTTCTACAGCACACGCAATGTGTTTCAATAGCTCTTAGTGCAGATCTCAAGCGTAGTACAACAAACTGCTGATGAATGACGGAACGAAGGTAGTCGACAGACTGATGTTCGTGCTTAATGTGATAAAACGGAGAAAAAATCGGATTAGGATATGGCGACTATCCAAAATTATTAGATGGCAAGTTTCGAATGCGGTTGCGGAGAGACGTTGGATACGGCCAGTATATCTAATTAAACTGTTCGTTCCGATAAAAGGCGAATACGATGATATACGGTCAATGTTTTCATGTACTTTCCAGCTGCTAATTGTTAACTTTCAGCTGGGAATGACTCTAACTGCGAAAGTTGCAAAAGTTTCTCCTCTGCAATGACAAGTTCTGCTGAATCAATTATGGCCTTACCTGGCGATCTGAAATGTTTATGTTTAGGTGAGAGTCTCAACACACCTGCGACCAGCCGCTTTATCTTGGAGAACGAGCTATACTCTTCCCAAGGGAAAGCAAAGTCAGTCGAAACTGCAGTGCACGGAAAATTGGAAGAGACCTCTAAACCTTCATTTTGATTGTAGACCGGACCAACCCGGCGAATTTTCTCAGTAACTTCCCTATTTGGATTGAAAGGCCGATCCGAAGTTTTCAAAAAGGAAGGGCCGTTTATCCAACTGCTTTGCTTGAGGGAATTAGCAGAAATACCTCTAGTTCTGGTGTCAGTGGGGTTGTCTCCACTCAAAACATGGAACCATTGGTCAATTGATGTTGACTCCAGAATCTCGGCTACTCGATTGGTCTTAAGCACGGGCTGTTTGCTTGTCGAGCTCAACCACTGAAGAAATGTTGTGCTGTCAGTCCACATGAACACTTTGGAAATACTCAGTGACAGAGCTTTCTCGATATCATCATTCAGGCGACTAGCAAGAAGCGCAGCTTGAAGTTCCAGTTTCGGAATTGAAAGCGTCTTCATCGGGGCTACTTTTGCTTTACCGAAGACAAACGCTAGTTGACATTTGGAATAGGCGTCTTTCTGAGCTCGAAGGAATGCTACAGAACAGAAAACGTCCAATGAGCTATCACCGAGCATGTGCAGCTCAACCTCATCTATTGGGAAGTCATAATAGCAACGAGATATTTTGAGCTGCCCTAAAACTGGCAAGCCGGATTGCCATTCAGTGAATCTGCGGCACAACTCATTTAGCACTGGGTCGTTCGACTGTTGGCCACTCAATCTCCAGATATCTTTCAGTAGCAATTGTGCGTGTACGGTATACGGGGCGACAAGACCTATGGTGTCGAACACGGAGGACACAAAACTAACTCCTCTGCTCATAACCAACGTATCGGTGACGTGGTCCCATTTGAGACCGAGAACATGCGATGCGGTTTCCGGATTAATAGCAGCGGTAATAATTTCCTTACTGTTGTTAGGGCTGGTCTTAGGGGGATTTAGTTTCAAGGACAAATTGAGAACGTTGCTAATAGATGTTGTAAGCTTAAACCCACACAACTTAAGCAGTTCAACTAAACTGCGACTTAACGTTAAAGCAGTTTCTGGATTTTTCTCAGACCCAAGGTAGTCACCCATCTAAAAGATGTTTAGCACGGCGTAAGCGACTTCGGGGTAACGATCTTGGTTGTCGACGCTGTTTGGCGAAGAGCTTAGTTAGCACATGTCGGAGAATCTTTTGCTCTAAAAATATTCCCTATATTTTGAAATACACTCACATCTGATGTGGGGTCCTCCCGCCACAAAAAACGCAAGGAGCGTTGATCGCTTTCTAATAAACCGACCACCAAAAACATGCCTTCGATATCTGAGGAAACTGAGTATTTGTGCTCTCGGAAGCGCATTAAAACGAATAAAAAGTTCTGAAGCAGATCGGGGCCGGCGAGAAGGAAGTTATTCAGTGATTTGCCGTGAAACTTAGAACCACCGTTTAAAACGCGCTGAACTTTGCCGGGTTTGTTCGGATTTAAAACTGGGTGGTGCGGTACGTACCATTCTCGGTCTGAACGGTTTTTTGAGTCGTGAGGGCTAACTGCGACTACGTAACTCTTCTCGACTTCACCTAGGATATCTGATGCGTAATAAGTTTTCAGGTTTAAATCTTTCTCTAGACGCTTTTCAAGAGACTAAAACTGGACCAACGAAGCGTAACAGTTATCGGAAAGATGAATGTTGTCATCAGCCCAGAGCATTTCGACAACATAACGGCTGCCATCATGAAGCGTCGTAGAGTCATAAATTTTTTGAGCACGTTTATCAGCTGAGGAACGGGGATCAGCTTGTTTAAACGTGCCATACGATTCTAGCTCGTAGCATTTCTACGTTGCACTTGAAAATGGTGGCTCGAACACCAATTGGTGATGGAAGTGGGTCACTGAGAACCCAGCCAATGGGAACACGGACAGCGACAGGAGTTTTTTGATTTTCTCCTTGGAAGTATTCGAGAGGCTTGATTGCATGAAAGACATCCTGCCCCAATATCATCTCAACGTCGGAGTAGTTGTGGACAACAGGTTTAGCCAAAACCCATGAGAGGGTACAACAGGAATCGCACTTCACAAGAGCAGTGGTCAAGCCTGTGTGTGATTTTATTTCCAATCGAAGCACAGGAAGGAGTCCCGTTAGTTTCTTGTTAGACGACGACCCGGCTACGTTCGATGACGAAGTTTGCGGCTTATTCCGGTTCGGCGGGGCGGTACTGTTTGAATTTGAATGGCTTGTGTTATTGCTAATGTTTAACTCTTTGTTTGTAGACCTTACGCTGAAAACTTTCTCAGCACCACGCAACAAGACATTATGGGTGCTTTCACAACCAGGCTTATTGCATTTGCGGGTTTTAGGGCATTTTCGGAACATGTGGTCAGGTTGCAAGCAAGCAAAACACAACCTATTTTGCGCTGAGAACTGAGCTCGTTGAGTTGCGGTCTTTTCCTTAAATACAGAACAACTCCAGAGCATAATTTGGTTTTTCAACTTTTGAAGCAGCGGCAAAAAGTTGTATAGGTGGTTTATGGAAACCAGTCTTTGGAGTCTCCTCAGGTCGTGACTTATTCTGACTCACACGCATAAGTTCATGCGCTTCAGCCTTGTCGCAAAGCCAATCATTAAAATCTAAAACGGTTGGCTGTCTCCAACATTTATTTACAGAATGAAAAGACCACGACTCTTTCATATTTGGAAGCAATTTTGAAATAACTTGATTCAAAAAGGATGTACGCTTCAAGTCGTACTCATATCCTGACGATTTTAAAATAGCGAAAAGACTGGATATACAGGAAGCGAAACTCATAATGCTTTCTGAATTGTGCATTTTGAGAGGTGGAAAATGCGAAAGTTTTTCGAGACTAGCCGCCACAATTGTCGTGGTTGTCCAAATTTCCTCTCCAGAGTTTTCAAAGCGTCCTTTTAGAATATTCCACTGTAAGCGAATTCGGCAATTGCATTCTTCGCTTTGCCTGAAACGAAGATTTTAAGATATGTCAGTTTGACAAGATCACTTCAAACTTTTGCATCGATTGCGCTTTTGAATTGACCAAAACATTCAGGCCATTGCAATGGATTTCCGTTGAAAGAGGACAATTTCCAGTCAGGCAACGGACCTTTCTGGCTCAGTGTCAAGAGTTCAGCTAGATCTTGATTAGTGACTGGTTTACTGCCCGAAGACGTAAATGGTCCCGATTGTTTGTTCTCAATTGTATAAGGCGCCATCAGGGGTTTCGAATAGATAGCGGCACCTACAGCATCAGGGTTACCGACATAAAAAGTTGAACCTCCGCTAGAGAACGGTTAAACATTCGATGGCTTTGTGACATAATTTGAGTTAGGGGGAAAGGTGACTGTTGGAAGATTAAGAGCACCAATGTTAATGGTTAAAAGCGGTTGGTAAACAAAATTTGCAGAAGTATTTGGGAAAAAAATTTGCTGAGCAATGAGCATTGAGCTCGTCGGATATTGGACTGATGAAAACTACTCTGCATCAAAGGGTTGTAGTTGTTTAAGTTGGTCAAAGGTAGCTGCTCCTGTGGCTCATACGTACAATTTACATTTGTATTTGGCAAGTTGACACTTAAATTTGATCTATGAGGGACGTTAACACTCTGTGAGTTTATACACGTGGTTTCGAAAAAATTAGCATTTGGATGAAAATTGTGAATCATTGTCAGATTTATACTGAAAGGCTGTTCAAAAATTGAAAAAGACAAGAACTTGGAAGCAGGTTCCAGGTTGACATTTTGTACTGGCGCCACGGGCTGAACTACTTCCTGAGCTGCGAATTGAGTGTTCACCCAACTTCTTTTCCGGTCTTCCTCCGTTTGGTTCTCCTGAACGGCCATTGCCAATTTCGACATACTACGACGAAGTCCACAGATTTCAGAGGCGTCTTCCAGATATTCAGCCTCTTCGATAGTTACTTCGGCTAGCTTTTGACGGCTTTCCCCTACAACCACATCAAGTTCAGGTTGACCCTTCATCGACTGATTCTGGATCTCTTGCTTTTTCAAACAAAGCTTAGCCTCTGCCTGGCATTCAATTTCCTCGAGTCTATTTTTTGCAAGGGCTGTCTCTCTTCGACGCTCACTCGAAGTCATTGATGCAATCTTAGAACGCTGTGAAAGGAGTTTCTTGGAACGAACGGATTCGCTTGGCGTCGGGGTTCGTGCAGTTGCTACCTGGTCCTCTTAAGTTTTAATTCTAAAGTAATTTTTAGCTAGACCTAATACATCGTCATTTTTTGCAGTGATAGATCCTAGGTAAAATTCAAGTTGATTTATGGTTTCAGCAGCGTTATTGCTGTGCTTAGGGTGAGATTTAAAATCAATATTTTCCTCTATAATTTTTTGTAAGCAAATGCTAGATTTTTCGATGTACGTTTCAACTTTTGCTGGTCTATCATGTGCACTTATATATTCCGTAATTTTGGCATGATATTCGAAAAGATTTGCTTCCAACTCTTTTTCTGGCAAAATTTGGTTTGTTTAGATTCTGGCCGAGGTCAAGCTCCATTATGAACTATTTGTTTTTTGAGTTTTTTTTTTTTAAAAAAGAGCAAAAAAAAATGTAGTGTCGATTGAAGGAATCAAACTAAAATCAATTCAAGTAGCCGCATCCTATACCAACTAGAGGATCGTCGCAAGACGCTTACCATTCTCGTTGCCTATTGAACAGAAGTAGAACAAACTACAAGATTGAACTTAAAGATGAATTTAACTAATGAAAAAAAAAACAAATCAAGGTTCATAATGCCTCAGAAACGTTAAATATTCTTCAACTGTTGTCATTTGTGAAATCTTATGCTTATCTGCTAATCTTTTCCCTGAACTTGGTCGACGAATTTCAACTTTATTGATAAGCCCAGACAGATTGGGGAAATAACGTAGAATGATTCTCAAAGTTTTTTCATTTCTAAAAACGCCGGAGGATGAATTATTTTAAGCTTACGAATTAATTCTTTGTCGTTAGCTTTTCTTTTTGAGATTAAATGTTTGGTCACATCAATGGTTAATATTGCTGTTTCAACCAAACGTCCCTAATCATTGGGGGTATTTTGAGGGTGTACGTAAATAATGGCTGACATTTTGCTTTTATTTTCTTTTAAAATTTCAATTAGACATTCTGTTGTCAGTGAGTTATCGTTGTTTGGTCTATGCTTGCTCAATGAATTATTTACAACATCGTGCCAGTTTATAAAAATTTTCTGTATCATAAATTTTGGGAAATTGCTTAAAAGATATTGAACAGTCGTTTGTCAGTTATTTGCTTTCAAATTAAAGCTTAAACCTGGAACTGCTTTGAAAGTGTCGTCGAGGCGTTTTTGTAGAGTTAATTTTAATGTAGTTACGGAGTGATGGAGAGAACTTGCAGCAATGATAATCACCATTGAGAGTGATAAGAGATATGGTTATTTCATTGGCAAACAATTTAAGGAGTCTGTTGTTGTAAAGTCGACACATAGAAATGAAAAAAAATTGTGACAATAATAACTTGTCGGGGCGACGAAACCGAGGTAGGTTTTCACTCAAAAAACTTGATCGACACGATTGACGGTTCAAACGGTTGTACGGGCATAACGAAAACGGTGTTTTCAGGCTTTGCTCTAAATTCGGGCAAAAAATTTTTTTTTGTCAGTGAAAATTTTGGGAAAATTTGGTATAACTTTTTTTTGTCGAGAGTTTGCGGAATTTTTTTTAAATATATTCTGGAATTTTTTTGTCGTGAAGTTTTTGGGTTGGAGACTCTCCTGGGGTACTAGAGTAGTGGGTATGAATTAGGATTAGGTATCTAGTACGGTCTTAATCGGTTTGAAATTAACAACATTGTATGTAATTTTACAGCAAAAATTGAAATCTAGCAAATCCTAATGATGACAAAAAAACAACGAATCATAGCACTGATAGGTCAGGTTATAGCATAATTGATTTGAAGAAAGGACAAAAAAAAGGTTCGGTCTAACAAGTTTTGTGCCGGGACGAAAAGTTCATTGGATTGTAGACCATAATCCACAAAACTTCGGGCGTTGAGAATTTTTTGGGTGCTGAGAAGGGCTGTCGGCACTTCAGTCGTCGGGTGGGTAGTAAGTC